GAATGCTTAAAGAACTGGCAGAGGAGAGGGGCAATTCAGATGGAAACGTTTGGGGATGCTATTACTCTAAACCTGAAGTAATATAAATTTTATAAAAATATATCTTCAACTGATCAGCTGCTGATCAGCTAAATCAGCTAAGCCAATCAGCTGACCCCCATTATATAAGCCAATCAGCTAGCAAAATACCTTAGCTGATGACTGACTGACTGGCTTATTACCCACCCTGACCAAGAGTTGAAGCATTCAACTCCACCAGTTTCAAAGTAGGCTTGAGTCCAAACGACTAATATTTGATTAGTTGCAGAGATTTTAGAAAATTCTGTTCTCTCACCTGATAGAAAGATGATGCTTCCAAACCTAAATGACCCATGACATCTCGAATGCTGTCTTTATTCTGCTGAGGTCGCTTCTCGCCTTTCTTAAGCATTTGAGCAGAATAATCTTCTTGCATTTTCTCCCTTACAATCTGCCAGTCAACGATAGTCAGTTGGGTAGCTGGATACCATATTTCTCGACCTTGGCTGCCGACATTGATGCAGAACGCATTCCGGTCTTTCTCCGTCCACTGGGATTCTCGGTATGCTGGCACAAAGTTCAGTGGGAACCCGGTACATTGAGCAGGAAAACTTACTGTTCTTCAAGTACGCGAAAACACTCTTTTCCTTGTTGTTGTCCGTCTTGTCCTTGAAAGTAGTTCCCGAAGTTCTCATAGGCCCTAAACCACATATCGTCCAAATTCGGCTGGGGTTATGAAGGTCAAATGTGACGCGAACGTTTTTGAGTTTCGATCTGAATCCCTTGTTGTCTAGTTGTCCGGGCCATTGCTTTTCCATCCAAGTTTGGAGATTGATGGGTGAAAAGAAAGCTGACGTGACCGTGTTCACATTGAGAAGAAGCGATCCATCTCCAGGCCGCATTGAAGAGAAGAAGCCATCACGGATGCGATACAAGGGCGTCTCCCTCTTCGTTTCATTGCTGTCGACCATCGATAGCGGATAGAACCTGTTCCCAACGCGACCTCCTTGAAATTCTTCACTGTTAATAGTTTTCCAAGAGATGATGTTAAGTGACTTCAAAACATCAAAGGTATTATCGAACTCGGATATCTTCTCAACGTGGTTTTTCAACCCTTGCAGGTTGATCTCTCCAAGGTACGTAACGTGAGATTCAACTAAAACTTGCTTGGGATCCTTCCCACGCCCAGTGCGATAATGGCGAGTTTGCGTGACTTGATCGACGGATAAAGTGGACTTCTCGTACAGAGGCCCCCTGGAGACGATGATCGAGTCATAATCTGTAGCCCAGTCCTTGTGTAGAGGAGGATTTTCCTTCAGCAGACCCTCGATCAAGAATCTTTTCGTCTCCCTCTTCAACTTGCGCTTGTCCATTTGCTCCGCTTGTGTCTTTTCTCCGTCTTTCGTGGTCATCGTATCCGAACTATCCGAGTCCTTCTCATTCGTGTCCCCAAGGGTGATGCTGTACTTGCATAGTTTGACCTTAGGGTCAATCGTGATCTCGAAAAAGTTTGCTTTGATTTTCTCGGTTTTCGAGCTTTGAGGCTGGCCATTTTGTCGTCTGGGCATTTTCTTTTCTGCTTCCGCCCACTTTTTTCGACGAGCAGTCATTGGGTCTTCGACTTCTCCAAGTCCTAAGGCTCCAGCTCCCTTGACGAGGGATTGTAAGCCGGATTGGGAACTTCGAGGAGACGTTGTTGGGCTTTTGATTACAGCGGGGCCTTGAGAGGGGGAGGTTGGTGAAGTCGGATTGTTGATGGCAGGTGGTGTCATCTTTGCTTGAGTAGCAAGATATCTCTCCCGGAAATTAGGAGTAAACTGATTTAACACATTTACGCTGAGGTTGTCCGGAACTGTGCCTCCGGGCACGACAGGGCATTTCTGCTTCCTGTGACCTCCATGACCACACAAAGGGCATGGATTCCCAATTTTGCTCTTGCAATCCTCAAACTCATGGCCATTTTCAAGACACTCATCACATACTTGCTTATCGAAATTTGGGTACGGCTTTTCGCACTTGGATGCCTGGTAAGTGTGCGTTTCCCCACACTTGGCGCAAAGTTTTCCCTATTTTCAGAATAGTGAGCCAAGAGATTCGTGGAAAATCTACTTCAAGAATATACCTTGCCATCTTTTGCCTTATCGTCACGGTATCCAGCACCACCAAGCCCGGAAGCTCTGTTCATCTTGTGAAACCGAGAGTGTTTTCTTGGAGGTTGAACGTCGATTGTTAAATCCAAGGGGGAAATAACTCTGAAACCCGAATTGGGAAAGAAGGGCTTAGCAATGGCGTTCTTAGGGGAGCTGTTCTTAGGTTATTATAAGGAGGTTTCGGGTTTGCTGTTCGAACGAGCGTGTTTGCTCAGTCCTGGTGACACAATAAAAAAGCCCCCCCACCGTTCTGGGACTTCGACAATCAACCAAACTTGTGAAAGTGTGTGGTAAAACAGCAGAGATCCAACATACCGCGTGACATTCAAGTGTTTCTGCTATTGAGACTACAACATCACTACTAAATCTTGAAAATATCCCAACAGCATTGAAACTTCGTTTTCTTCTTGAAAACGCCAAATATTAAGGGACACACCTCGTGACCCAAATTTTCAAATGAGAATATTTGTTAATCGAGATAAATGGCAATCATCACGAGGAAAGGTTCGCACGTGGTGAGGAGAGACCGAGCGAAAGGCAGGCAAACAATGACACATCAGGTCGCCTCGGCTCTGCCTCTTCCGCAGATGAGGGTGGACTTTTTTTTTTAGGAACTGTTGTATGGCACTAGGGCCCCCCTTTTAGTGCCCTGTACGTGCCTATATCACGTGTTCAGGGGCTTAGCTCCTGGGCATACCGTACTTCACCCCTATGTAAGCTCTTCGGAGCACCCAATTTATGCTCCTCAGAGAGCGCATTTGCACTGCGTTAGGAACTTTCCAATATGTTGGGGATATGGATGAGGCCAGATTGATGTTCCAAAGTGATTGGTACAATTGCGAATTGTAGAGGGAGAAAGAAAAAAGGGAAGAATATCTGGGCAGTGCTGTTGCTCCTCGAGGCTTCGCGCGCAAGGATGTTTATCTCGCAGCATATCTTGACGTGCGGGCCTTGGAATGTGCCTGGTCGACTGGACAATCAAGTTTCCCCTCCAGCATCCTGACGCAATCGCACTTGTCATTCCTCCATGCTTTAGTCACCGTTGCGGTTCGAAAGTCGACGTCCGCTGCTCAGTGGTAGCATAGCCACTGACACCACTCCTTCTGTCTGCTATCCTCCAATTCGTTTTCAAACATCTGGACTTCGCAACCGATAGAAATACGTCAAGATTATGGGGAGCGGGAATGTCGTAGACTCCGAAATTGAAAGTGATGGCGATTGATGAGGAAGTTAGGAAGTTGCGATATTGAGATCAGCGGCACAGCCCCTGACCTAATGAGGTAGGTGGGGTAATCACATGACAACTCACTCTCCTTCACGATTTTGAACTTTCAAATGATCCTGAGCCCTGAATGTACTATTTCTACAAGTATAATAAAGCTTCATTGTACCGCAGGTTGTTCATATCTGAGCTTCTTGGAGTTGTGGAGGGGTCAATGTCGAAGGGAGCTTGATGCTTACTACTCAACGCTTTCCTGGGAACACAATGTTCTCATTCATGAGGTATGAGAGGCACTATATTATATACATTTGGCTTTCTACTCGATTTCTCTGCGCTGAACCTTCATAAACAGTTGGCCCATGCCGGCAGGGCATGCTCAATGCTCCAGTGGTAAGATTGTCGCTTCGGGAAGATGTTATCTGCCCCCTCGAGAGAGGAGAAGTGTGTCTGGCCCCGGGCCAAATCCCTTTGAATGTTGTGCGGTCTTCAAAGGCGGCTTGATAAGGGGAACAACTGAGGTTGGGCAACGTCTAGGGGTTCGCTTAACCTCGCTAAGCCTGGAAATGATAACTGGTGCACAGGAACTGCAAAAATTAAAAGTAACCTCACGGGCGCCTTAGGCAACATATTATCACAAAACAAAATGGTAAAAGGATTACAATAGGGTCACGGGCTTGACCGGGATTCGAACCCGGGGCCTGTCACAGTTCTCCTCTCTCGAGGGGGCAGATAAAATCTTCCCGAAGCGACAATCATACCACTAGACCATCAAGCCTGGTTTGCACATTGTAGCAAATTTTTTCCTTATTTGAGTCTATCCGAGTGCTAGCTAGATCAGCCGAATCGGGCAAGGTTCCATGTCCGAAACCGTTAATCATTGGCTGCTAAAAATAAACGACCCCACGAACACACCTCGACACCAGCTTTGCATCATAAAATTCATAATCCATATGAACAGTATATGCTATTATTAGTCTTTAGGGGTCTACTTATGGGCCAGGATTTGTGTTATAAGCAGAACCCCTATTTCTGTTCCAAGTCGGTCAAGGATTCTCAAGTCAAAAATATCAAGGGACGCTTTCCACCTGACATTATGTCAGAGAAAGGAGCTACTTTCCAAGAGATTAATGTATGCTCTAAGATTCCGACTCAAGGCTCTTACGATGAGGATGTCCAGGAAGCCCTCAATGCGACATCGTCTCAATACACAGAAACCACAAGGGAATTGCTGTGAATTATCGACTGTCGCGATTGAAATCCAGGTCAGAGCATGAGTCTGTCACCATGAGTGCCCACGGGAGCTTAGGGTGCCTTGTTCGACAGTCCGACAGGTCTCCACCTTGAGTGGTACAATGCAGCCAGACTAAATAGTCTGGAAGAGGTTATTGGCGAACTCATGCCCCTCCATTTCCTTGGCAATTCTTTGGGAGAAGTAGTGGATAGATTGAAACTCATATAGAGCCAGGGCTCTAGTCGAATGAAAGGTTTGATGGTGCAGAGAAGGGTTGGGGGAAGGGATAGAAGTTCATTAAATAGGATCCTAGTGCATTTTGAACAACAATGCCGGAATTAACGGGTACTGCCGAGGATTGACGATGGTCTGGTCAATGGGGAGTTTGGGTTTAATACCGATATTTAAAGCATCAGGTCCACGATGCCACAGAGGGGATGACCACGGACGTCCTCAATGAGAGAGCAACTTCCTCATTCATTATAAAAATCCACCGTCCCAACACCTCAGTCACAAATCCCAACCAAAGCGAGATATCCTCACACGTCTTCCAATTCTAAAATGCTTTTCATTCCTCAAGCTCGTTCTCATTCCCATTACACTGCCTAACAAGAAAGGAAAATCTAAAATACAAATCCTTCCTCTCCTTCCCCCTTCCCTCATCATCTGTTCATTAATTCACAACTTCGCCCCTCCTTCCCCAACCAACTCGCACGCCGCAGCAGCAATAGCCAACTTCCCCGTCTCCTTAACCTTACTCTGGAAAACAACCTTATTCCCCTCCTTCCAACACTCCGTCACCAGCGTCTGCCCAGGCAACACCGTGCCCGCAAACCGTACCTTGATGTTCTTATACGGTCCGTACTTCTGGTACACCGCCTTACCCGCAATACCGAAGAAGCACAGTCCATGCAGAATCGGGACTTTGAAGCCGCCCATTTTAGCGAATGCGGGGTCGACGTGAAGGGGGTTATAGTCGCCTGATAAGCGGTAGAGGACAGCTTGCTCTTCGGTGGTTTTCTCTTCTGTGATGAAGTCTGCGGGACGGGAGGGCGGCTTGTTAGCTGCAGTGGAAGCGCCGCGATCAAGTGGTTTCTTGACACCTCCAAATCCACCACTTCCTCTAATGAAGACTGTGCTCTCATTGTAGAAAAGCGGTTTGCCCGTCTCCTTGTTCACGGTCGTGATTCCACTCTTTACAATCGCGGCATTTCCCTTGTCAACGACTTCCAGGAGCTTGGCGTACGAGACGAGCGTTCCCGAGGTGGGGATGGGATACGAGAGGATCTCAAGGTATTGCTCGCCGTGCAGGAGCATCATGGGACTGAAATTTGGTACCAGGTCTGCGATGTTGTACGGTGTTTCGGCGGAGAAGAAGGGGATGACGCCGAATGTTGGGAGGGCTTGGAAACTTTCGTTTCCTTCACTATTTGCGTCACTCAATTAGATAAAGTTTCGGAGGAGGGGGAAGAGGGACGTACAAGACGTAAGGCAAATCAGTCTTCTTTGCACCAATTCCGAGGTTGTAAAGAATGACATCTCTCTCTTCGTATTTGAAGGGTGTGCCATTGGCTTCCGCTTTCTTGGCTTTCTCGATGTTGGCGAGAATCTCCTCGTTCACTTCACCAGCTGGTTCACTCTTCTATGCACAGATAATGTGTTAACCAGATTCATATATTCGTGTAAAATACAACTACAAATGTACAAACATCCATCCCCGGATTGGATATAACGGGAAGAAGCTCATACCTTACTCGCACCACCCTTTTTGTTGTTCATGTTCGCCATAATGCTCTTCAGGCCATCCTGGCCGTCTTGCGGGTTGTCCGCTCGTCCGTCGTTGAAATCCGTGATTTTCTTCCATTGCTGCAGGACTGCTTCAGGAGTAAGCTGCACGTCAACTGGGAAACCGTGACCTCCGGTTCGTTGCCAGCGTGTCCGTCCAACCCAACCGCTACCGACTTCAAAGAGACCACCTGTAGGGTCCTTAGGGACTTTGTCGGAGCAAAGAGCTACAACGAGTGGTGCTATGTAGTCTGGCTTGAAGGCTTGGACCATTTCCTCGGGAAGAATTGTTCGGGTCATGGCAGTACCAGCGTTGGGAGCAATTGTGTTGACATATATGTTGTACTTTGCTCCCTCACGAGCAAGTGCACGAGAGAAACCAAGGATACCGCATTTCTGAATCTGTTAGCTAGAGCAAAATATCGGGGGATTGCACTTACGGCTGCAGCATAGTTGGCCTGTCCAAAATTACCGTAAATACCGCTGGTCGAGGTGGTGTTGACGATTCGTCCATACTTCTGCTTGAGCATGTATGGCCAAGCGGCTTTTGTAACTTTATATGTGCCTCTAAGATGGACAGCGATGACTTGATCCCACATCTTGTCATCCATGTTGGTGAAAGCCTTGTCTCGGAGAATACCAGCATTGTTGATAATGATGTCGATTCGGCCATAAGCATCGATTGCAGCCTTCACAACCGCATCTCCGTCTTCAGCTGAAGCCTTAACTCCAACGGCCTTACCGCCGGCCTTTTGGATTTCTTGAACAACAGTGTCAGGGTCCATTAGATCGTTGACAACGACTGAAGCACCGTATTTGGCGAAAGCTAGGCAGTAGACGCGGCCAATACTAAAAGAAAAAAAATCAGTAACTTGTCTCTCCTCGCAAACAGGCTTGACGTACCCAGCACCACCACCGGTAACCAAAGCAACCTTGCCCTTAAAATCAAGCGTCTCTCCCTTGTCATTGGGGCCCATCTCCATCGATTTCTCAAGCAGACCCATGAAATCCGCAGCCCCAGTAGGATACTCCGCATTCTTAAAGTCGCTGACTTGATCCCACTTCTTCAGGATAGCACCAGGAGTATATGTGTCATCCGCCTTCAACAGCAGACCGCTTGAACGCTCCCATCGTAACTTGGCAACATGTCCTCCACCGACTTCGAAAATCGATCCATTTTCCTCAGCATCCTTGTGTACCAAAACCGCAACAAGAGGAACAACCCAGTCTGGCTTGAGGTTTGCGAGAATATCTGGTGGCATAACAGTTTCGGTCATTCGGGAGGCGGCTGTCTCTAATTAGCATGTGATTCTCCCCAAAATATGAAGTGCATACCAATCGGAGCAATAACATTGGCATGAATGTTATATTTTGCACCCTCCTTCGCTAGCGTCTCCGTGAATCCAACCATAGCCAGCTTAGCAGCCGAATAATTGCACTGCCCAAAGCTACCAAACAGACCCGCCGCAGAAGCAGTATTGATAACCCGTCCATACTTCTGTTTTCTGAAGTACGGCCACGCAGCCCTGGCACACTTGTATGAGCCCTTGACATGCACTGCGATAATCAGATCCCAGTCCTGGTCCTTCATGTTCTTGAAGCTGATGTCCCGTAGGATACCGGCGTTGTTGATCAGCACATCGATGCGGCCGTAGTTCTTGATGGCGGTTTCGATGATCTTCTCGCCATCTGTGACGCTGTCGTAGTTGGCTACTGCTTTGCCACCCGCAGCTTTGATCTCGTCGACGACGACATCAGCGGCCTATGTTTGGTTGTCTGATTAGCCATTGTCCCACAGTTGGATGGAACATTGGGAGAACGAGTACCTTTGTAGATTTCCCCTCACCCTTGAAAGACCCTCCTAGATCATTGACAACCACACTGGCTCCCCTCGAAGCAAAGTATAGACAGTACTCGCGGCCTAAACCGCCCCCAGCTCCTGTTACGACGACTACCTGACCATCATATCGTAGTTTCGACATCGTCAATCGTTATTTGAATCCAATTTCTCAATCAAGTGGATATGCAAAGGAAGGTGAGAGAGGCGCGAATGGTGACAGAGAGGAAGAAGGAGAGTGTAAAGTAAAGAAGAGGAAGAAGTAGTGTTCCGGCTGTTGATCTGTCGGTTCTGTCGCATGCCTCGGTTCGATCGAACCGCCCAAATCCCGACCATGACGAAGAAAAACCCGGGGGCCGGCCCCACACTCCTGCTTTCTTTCACATTTCACATGCAAAGCGCTGCGCTCCACTAACTCTGCTGTTCACGTGGCATCAACAGCCTCCCCTCCACAGTTCTGTTCCAGTGTAAGTAATCACACAGTCACAAGACTTTGTCAAACATAATCAGAATCTCACCCTCTCTACTTTGCCATGTGAAAGCAAGCTGATCTGAGGAAATCTCCAATGTCTGAGGCCCCACATGCACAGCTCCTGGCGGGGAAGCAAAACCCGCAGTTTTCCCCTCCAGCGGCTCAGCTCCGGTCTTCGAAGGCCCGGGTACACTTCCCTTCACCACCATGAACTCAAGATATCACCTCGCCATTGCGCCCTTCAATGGGTCTGCGCAACCGCCAAAATGTCCTCCAGCACGGCCCCTGAAAATGCTGTCTCCAATGCCCGCATAACCTCTCCCCCTAACCCGAAATCCAAACCTGAGATAATCGACGACAAATCCCCCCACTGTATCCCGTTCATCCTGCGGCAGCTCTCCCTTCACCAATCCTCCCCTCAAAATGCGAACAAGCCATTCTTCATCGGCCTCAACGGCGTCCAAGGCGCCGGGAAAACAACCCTCGTTTCCACGCTCTCGTCCCTGCTCAGCACACCACCACACTCCCTCCCCGTCCTCGTCTGCTCAATCGACGACCTCTACTTATCCCACTCTGCCCAACTCGCCCTCGCGGAAGAACACAATGAGAATCCCCTAGTGCAGCATAGAGGCGAGCCAGGGACACATGACATGGTCCTCGCGCGGAACCTATTCGAAGCGTTGAAAAAAGGGAAAGAAGTCAAGGTGCCGGAGTACGATAAATCCGCCTACAACGGCCAAGGAGACCGCGTCGCCCCATGCTCCTGGAAAAGCGTCAACACGCCCTCTCAGCCGAAAATCCAGGTCGTGATTTTCGAAGGGTGGTGTGTAGGGTTCCGCACCCTCTCCTCGGACGAAGTGAAGCGTAAATGGGAGGAAGGAGGCGTGACATTGGGCAGACATAGGTTGCAGGATTTACTTTTCGTGAACGAGAAGTTGAGAGAGTATGAAGTGTTGAATGACGCTTTTGATGCATTTATTCATATTGATGCTGAGGAGACCGGGTATGTGTATGCGTGGCGGCAGGAACAAGAAGAGGTTTTAAGGAGGGAGAAGGGGAGGGGCATGAGTAGGGAGGAGGTGGAAAGGTTTGTGGATGGGTATTATCCTGCTTATGAGCTTTTTACGGAGAAGTTGAGGATGGGACTGTTCAGTGGGGTGGATGGGGGGAAGGGGAGGCAGTTGAGATTGGTTGTTGGGAGGGATAGAAGGGTTAAGGAGGTTATTGAGATTTGAGGGAGGAGCGAGAGAGTGATCCCGGATGAGATGTGTGACGATTAATGCTCATTTATGAGTAAGAAGCAAATGGGTATCTTGACATATAGAGAGAACTCCGAGCAAAATGCAATCACTATCCGAATCCCTTTCCATGTCCGTCGCTATGATGCGAAACTCCCAGCAAAATGCTACCACGTTCGCCCCTTCTCATACAGCTCTCAAGAATGCCAGAACAAATATGAAGCCATGCCTAACAACCTCTTGCCCCATGTTCCCTCAACAGCGACAGGAGATTCCCGCAAAGCAAGCTCCTCTACACGAGCCGTCCCACCCTGAACAACAGCAACACCTGAGCCATTCTTCCCAATCCTGCCACCAATAGCCTGCAAGTCGGGCACAGAAGAAGATGCATCTAAAGCTCAGCAGACAAGTCAGATCATCTTGCCTCTGAGCACACCTTCCCCGCTAGCCTGCATCTCCTTGAGCTTCTTCTCAAACAGGTCAGACTTGCCTCTGACCACCTTCTCTCTCGCCTCGATCTCCGCCTCAAATTTCTCCGTGACTCTACGCTTCTCTTGTCTCTTCTCCTTCAACTGTTTCATCAAATCCGCAAATTTCTCGATCAGCCAATCTCCAGCTTCCTCCCACTCGCTAGTTGAGAGCTGTTCAAAGAAGAGAACCGCATCCTCATCAGTCTTGATTCGGTCGGCGTAATATGTGATTTGATCACCAAGGGGCTTTCCTTGGAGTGCAGCTGGGAGTCCGAAAGGCTTGTGGTTGCGGATTGTGTCCCAATCTTCAGCTTTGAGATCGGAGTATTTCATGCCTTTCAGTTTCTCGTCATTGTAATCACCAGGCACGTAACCAGGCGGGTAGCCGTTTTCCATCGTCAATGGGGAGCTTTGTGCAAGGCGGGCTTTTCGCTGGCGAGTGGGGCTTGCGGAAGGGGTGTCAGCTTCAGCTTCATCACTGCTGACTTCAATGTGATTGTGTCTTTCCTTTGATCGGGGTCCTGGGAGTTGGTCCTCGTCCGTCTCCTCAGGTTCCTCGTCGCCTTGGTGTCGTTGTTGCTCATAATTCTCGCGAGATGGTCCATCTGATCGATTTCGCTTCTTGGAGCCCGCCGTCTGTTGATTCATCGCATCAGCATCTTGCGCCTGACGAAGTTGCAGATCTGAATGTATGACTTCAGACTTCTTAAACCGACTATGAGTCCCAGAAGTTTGCGGCTTCGAGGGGCCTTGTTCATATTCGGGATTGACGATCAAGGGTGATTGACTGTGGACATGGTGAAGCGTGTGTTGCGGCAAGCCATGTGAATAACGCTGGCCAGCCTGAGCTCCATACTCACGCTCATCTAGCATTTCTTCCCCCTGTCTATATTGGCCATTCTCCTCAAGATCGAAGCCGAGATCACTCTTGGTAGCTTCGAAGTCGTCTGAGTTAAGGGTGATTTCATCGAAGGCCTTTGAATATGGAAGCGGCTGTTCCTTTGCAAATCGATTGTTCGGATACGTGTTCCGGAGAGAATTCTGGTTCGAGGCATATCCTGGAGCTGGAGCAGTGCTGGGAAGGTATTGTGTAATAGGAGGGGCAGCAGGCTCGGATCTTTTGGGCTTTCCACTTCCAAACTTCAAGGCTTGTGCAGCAGCTACATCAGGGCGTTTGGCACCGGCTGGAGGGGCAGGAGCATGCTGTTTATTTTCGATGAATCGAGATAGACTAGCCATTGTAGATTATTCTAGGAATGACTTGGGCAGGTTTTGTCTTGTCGATTCGTGCTGAAGGATTGTGGTTAGATCATGGTGAGGCTGAGATTTTTCTTCAGGAACTCACAATTTGGTACAGCTCTGCTTCGGGCTGGTTTTCACTGCAGAATAGCACAGCTGCGATAATAGGTACGGCAGATACCAGAGGGAAGGCGCCCATCAATGAAAACTGATTCAGAGGCTGCTAGTGGTTCGGACAGAGAGGTTGTTGACTTCACCCCGACGTTGAAGTGGGATGATTTTTTCGGAACGCGAAGTCGCGATTGGATTCAGTGCACGGTCACATGACTACGCGATCAACACTTCCACATCGGCCGCGCCGAACAGCCCCCTCCGGGGAGATCTTCGAGGTTGAATTTCTCTTCTTCAGATCTCAAAGCTTGTCCCAGACTGTAGAGCTTTACTCGTCGACGCGATGGCCGAATTATGACGTGTCACTGCGTTCCATGACGTGTCGTGTGAGTGAGATTCCCCTGGATTTGTCAAAGTTTTGCTGTGACAGATAATTGGGCGAGAGGATGTTGCATTGAGAGAGCAGGTGTGCACGGAGCAATATATGTACAGCTTGTCCTCGCCAAAGGCACGCTCCACGGTGACTACCGCAAGAGCCCTATATGGATCACAAATCCAGAATCCGACCCCAGCCCGCCTGTCAATACCTGGTCCGGAACCCTCCATACACGGAATGCCTTGTGGAACTCTTTGAGCCAACCTTCAAATACCTCTGCAGAACGTAGCTGTTGTGCAACGATACACACCGTTGGAGTATCCTTTCCATCTGCCAGCCGCAGCTGGCACACTTCTCTGCAAGTATCAACAAGAGGCTTTATCAAAGCATCATTGTAGATGCAATCACAAGCGATCACGGCATCGAAACTGATCTTCATCCCATTACCCGTCAGTGAAGACGTAACCTGATCCGTCTCCCAGTCAAGCGGTTTCGCAATGATATTGCTGACTGCATTTGTCGAAGTCGGCCGCATGACATCCTTCTTCATTTTGGATGTGCTCTTCCGGCTCTTGCTTGCTGAAGAGGAGCTGTCTGCCTGATTTTCACCTAAATTCCGATTCAGGTACTTCATGACATATTCCTGGTCTGTCAAGATGTATGATTCGATCAGCGGGCCCAGGGTCAATCCAATAACTCCAGATATTCCACACCCAAGCTCAAGAATAGTCGATGTGGTATTCAGAATGCCGTGCTTGAAGAGCAAATTTGAAGGATGAGTAATCCATGATGCAAACAGAGGGGTGATTTTCCAGACAACTGCAGTCGTTAGCCAATTCCAAGCTTGTAGACCTTCAACCCTACCAGCTCCCGTTGTCCCTCCACCTCGATTTGAGGATAATATCGTGGGAGATTGATGGATTGTGAGATCCCGGTCGCCGATCGACAAATCCAAGATTGTGGCTTTTGAATCAACAAATCCGAGATTCTGAGATGGAATCGATTGAGAAAACAAGAGAAAGGATTCTAGTGACCGCGCTTAGCTACATTTTGGACAGTGAACTTCGTCTGTACCTTCTTCAGGATAATCAACCTCGGGCCCAAGAGTTTCCAAGACAGCCTCGAGACTCATTGGAGGATTGGGATCTAGCGTGGAGAGTCAGAAACCCAACGATCTGATCCTGCCAATAGGCACAGAAGAACCAGCACTTCACATGACTAAATGTGTCGTGGCATAACAGGGTCACAGGAGAGAGTCTTGGGATGGCTGACTGACAGGCAACCAAGTTGCGTATCACAACTTCGGATCCCAAGGCGTTTTCACATCGCCAAGGGCAGAGATTGGCCCAACTACTCGGCAGAAGCGAGCAAGTTGCAGGCACAAGTGGCTGGGCATAGATACGAAGGAAGCGGAAGCGGAAGCGGAAGCAAAGGTTCCAGAGAGCTGGTGCTAGGAGATAGTCAAAAACTTACCGCAAGTCGATACTGTGTTCAAGGTTGCTCGAAGAGGTCAAAGGAAGAGGATCACGATGAGCATGTCTCACTGAGACTGAAGTCTCGGCATGCACTAGACACTTGCCCCTGTGTAGAAATAAGTCCGACCGGTCGCAGGACCACAGTGCCCCGATGGAGCTTGCCGCAGCTTGGCAGGTTGAAATTAGCTTGTGCTAGCGGCCCAGCCCCGGGTTTCCTCCTCACTTGCGATCAAGGCAATGACGATTGCCCCAAGCTTCAACCAAACCCTATCCTGATCTTCAGCTTTCGCCCGAAATACCCTTCTGATTCTCTTTGTATTGACGTTTCTTGAGGTTGCCTTTCGTTTTTAGTTATTTGCTGTCCTCAGCTGTCCTTTCATCCGCCTGCTTGAGCTTCCCAACAAAGCTGCCAGGATGTCTCTCAAAAATGCCACGGTACAACCAAAGTTCGTTCACAAGCCGCCCTTCAGTCTTGAAGCTCCAGGCTATGAACATGTAGATGGAGAGACGATCCCGCGAAGACATCCGCTATGCGTCAACAAGCTCCAGGAGCGCCCTTCCGAGGATATTGTGACCGTTTTCGACATTGTCAAACGCAGCGCGGAGAAGTTTGGCAATGCGAAGGCTGTCGGCTCCCGGAAGCTCCTCAAGACTCACCAAGAGACGAAGAAGGTCAAGAAGATGATCGATGGCCAGGAGCAGGAGGTTGACAAGAAGTGGACATATTTCGAGCTCAGCGGGTACGAGTACATGAGCTTCCACGACTACGAGAAATTGATCCTGCAGATCGGCGCTGGGTACCGAAAGCTTGGACTGAACAAGGACGACCGAGTCCACATCTTCGCTGCGACGAGTGCCCACTGGCTTGCGACGGCTCATGGTGCCTGTTCTCAATCGATGCCCATTGTCACCGCATATGACACTCTTGGTGAGTCTGGTCTCGAGCACTCACTGGTCGCAACCAAGGCCAAGGCCATTTTCTTGGATCCCCATCTACTGCCAACGCTTATAAACCCTCTTAAGGAGGCCACCGATATCAAGTATGTTATCTGGAACAGTCAGAATGAGGTCAAAAAAGAGAACATCGACGCTCTCAAGAAGGCTCACGACCGCCTTACCATCCTAAGCTTCGAGGAGCTCCGGAAGCTGGGAGAAGACAACCCCGTGGACCCCGTCCCACCTACTGCAGATGATCTTTGCTGTATCATGTATACTTCCGGTTCTACTGGACCGCCAAAGGGTGTGCCCCTCAGACACAAGGCTGTGGTTGGTGCAGGTAAGTCGGAAATCCGATTTTGGTCCTACAGGTACTGATTTATTTAGTTGCTGGTGTTAGTGTCATTGTTGAACCGTATCTCGGCCCTGGTGACGGTCTTTTGACCTACCTCCCTCTCGCACATATTCTCGAATTCGTCTTCGAAAATGCCTGCTTATATTGGGGTGGAACTATGGGTTACGGAAATCCCAAGACACTCTCCGATTCATCAGTGAAAAACTGCAAAGGAGATATTCGAGAATTTAAGCCAACCGTTCTTGTTGGTGTTCCTGCTGTTTGGGAATCTGTCAAGAAAGGCATTGTCGCAAAGGTCAACTCAGGCAGCCCGGTTGTCCGAAACCTGTTCTGGAGTGCTCTCTGGGCTAAGAATAACTTGCTGCATTGGGGACTTCCTGGATCTGGAGTACTTGATGCCATAGTCTTCAAGAAGGTGAAGGAGGCTACGGGTGGACGGTTGAGAATATGTATGAATGGAGGAGGACCGATTGCAAAAGATACCCAACGTTTCATCTCAATGGCTATCACGCCTATGATCAACGGGTACGGGTTGACCGAGACAACTGCCATGGGCGCTTTGATGGACCCCTTCGAGTGGACCGATGATGCACATGGTGATATTCCAGGATCGGTCGAAATTAAGCTGGTCGACTTCCCTGATGCGGGATACTTCGCAACCAACAAGCCCAATCCTCAGGGTGAGGTTTGGATTCGAGGCGTGACCGTCATGGAAGGCTACTACCAAAATGATCAGGAGACGAAGGAGGCTCTCACTTCAGATGGCTGGTTCAAGACCGGTGATATTGGAGAGTGGGACAAGAATGGTCATCTCAAGATCATCGACCGCAAGAAGAATCTTGTCAAGACACTGAATGGAGAGTACATTGCTCTGGAGAAGCTGGAATCAGTCTACAGATCTGCTACAGTGGTGGCTAATATTTGTGTCTATGCTGATCAGCAGCGGACAAAGCCAGTTGCTATCATTGTGCCAGCGGAACCAGCCTTGAAGAAGCTGGCGGACAGAATCGGTGTCGAGGGAAGTGGCATCGAGGATTTGGCGCATAACTCGAAGGTTCAGGCTGCGGTCTTGAAGGAGTTGCAGCAGGCTGGAAGAGCAGGAGGATTGAGTGGAATTGAGATTATTGAGGGAGTAGTGTTGGCCGACGATGAATGGACACCTCAGAATGTGAGTATACTCTTGACTTTCTCGCTCTGCGAACGCATGCTAATATCACTAGCAACTGGTTACTTCCGCTCAAAAGCTCAACCGAAGAGGCATCCTCAAGAAGTATCAAAAGGAGGTCGATGCAGCTTATGCCAAAAACAGCTAAATCACCACGGTTTTAGGAGTTGGGACAGTATAGGGGAAAGTCAAGGTAACAGAGTGACGGTAGATGATGGAGTGCACAGCGCGAGAATTAGCTTGAGCTTCGTTAATTGTATGATTAATAACTGTACCAGAATCCACATATACTTCCTTGGGCCCCCTGCCGCGGATTTCGATGGCATCTTCATTTGGTACTGTCGAGGAGTGGTGCACACATCCTTCTGAATGGCTACATGGAGTAGTTGTTGGGAGCGTGGGGTCAAGGATAGCAAGTGCCAACACAGTCAACGAGAAGTTCAAGATTTCCCTGGTGGAAGCAACTTGATTTCAAGTTTCATGTTTTCTCGAATTCTCAAAACCGTTGGTTGAGTTCAACCCCAAACGGAAGTCACTTACAGGAGCACTCCCCTTCCCAATGTACTTGCACACCTTGCAGAATGCAGCTTTCTCACTCCACTCTGCATCAACTTGAAGTCATCGATACTTTTATGAAATTAATTCTGAGCAGCCTCACCATATTTTTCCATCCCAGAATCCATGGCGTACCCAACCTACGTGCCAACATGTTGGGAGCGTCAGGAAGACATAACCATGATTTATCCCCAGACGGAATTGCATACACATACCGTCATCCTCCTCCATGACCGCCACCAAACCGCTGAAGAATTTAGCATCGAACTCTTCGACGCCAAGGGCTCAGCCGACTGCAACATTCCAGCACTGTTCCCAGGCTTTAAATGGATACTTCCAACTTTCAACGTCCTCAGATCAGTCAACGCAAAAAGACAAGGTATTATAGATAAAATGTAGTCCGAAATGTAGAACAATGACAAGGCCAGAGCTATGGAAAATATCCAGAACAAGGGACTGAAGGATAGCGTTGCGTTTGTTCTTCGTTGGATTCTGAGAGAGTTGGAGCATGTGCATACCGAGAAGATTATTTTGGGTGGAGTCGGCCAAGGCGGTGCAACTGCACTACACACATCGTTCGCTACAGGGATGGAACTTGTTGGATTCATCGGAATATCTTGCGGGATGCCTTTCATTGGGGAGTGGAAATCTGTAACGAACAGCTTCTTCAAGAAGCGGGGTAATGCGGAGGCCATTCATTTAGAGCTACTTCGAGAGGTTTGGGGGCTGGAACAGCTATCTGTGGATGCCGAGATGGGGAGACAGATGCGAGGGTCATTGTTCACACAGAAATAGCTACCAGAACCCCGATTTTCTTGGCGCAATCTGCAGATGATTGGTTACCGGCTGGTCCACTCCGCCACTTCAAGATCCAAGGTCTTTAAGTATGGAGCGAAGTCGGCATCCCGGGTGGACGATATCGCAAACTTCGCCAGGAGCAAGGTGTTAGAAGAGCAGCAGAAACGAACGGAGACCGAAGTCGTAGGGCAACTTGCCAACTTGACTATCGAAGCTAGCAAGACTGCTTTACGGAGGTACTTTAGATAGCAAACGGACCGAAATAACTGCACAGACCAAAAAATTGCAAAACTCAAAGACTTCTAGCATTGCAGCCCACTGAGGCCGCTTGTTGACGGGAAATTCTTTATTTGAATACATTAAAGCCGAGTTAAACGGCGGGAAGAAATTCCGCTAGTAGTAGAACTGAGCACGCGAGAATTCTGCTCGTGGAGCGGCACTGGAGCCGCCGAGTTGGCGAGATATGATGAAGTGTTATCGATTTTTTGATGTCAAAGATGACAACCATTGACACCATGCTCAAAGGAATGACATGAACAGTGAAACGTTGTTAAGAGACTGTCCTTTTTAACAACCCACAGAGTAAAGGCAACGCCGTCGCGTTGATCACGGCAATCTTTTGGGAAGTAAACACGCATTCAGGGGCAGAGACGGAGCTTTGATCACGTGATGATGACAACCCCGTGACCCAATCAGATTTGCAATTAACAAGCAGTACAGTTTTGAAAACATTTCTCCTTTCGAGCAAGCTACTCTTGACTTCTTAGCCGTACCAACTATCATGGAAAAGCTTCCTGAGATGCAAGCCAAGTAAGCAAAATATCTGATTGCGAATCGGGAATGACCTCAGAGGAACATGCTCCACACACAAATAAGCCTCATGCAGGGCAGCACCAGTCAAAATCAAAAGCGAACTGGCCAATTCGACAAGCTCTTTTCAATGATAATCGCAATTTGAGGAGAGGCTAGAGAGGTTGCACATGCGCGAAGTCCCAACATATGCTTTCAGCCGTCTATGACGTATAGCTCGATAGCTTGACGCCATTGTCAACGCGGCATAATACGCCTCTCCCGCGACCGAAAAACTTGTTGAAAGGCTACTTCTCTTTCTAAAAGTCAATTCCAACTTTTCAGTGTTTCCTCTGTTTTTATAAATCTCAAGATTGAGACAAGATGGCAACTCCAACGAGCAATCCAGCTGTTGCAGGCCCGCAACCAGTGGCTATGAACGCGCCGAAGGTGGATGAACCAGAAATCGTGGAAGCCGCTCCAGAAGAACATCCCACAGATAGCCATGAATTGGCAAATGCAGACCACAAGGAGAAAGGGGCTGCGCAGGTCGATCATGGACAGACTGAAGTGAGGGACTTAGGGTGGAACGAGAATCCAAGTGACATTCCCAATCCAGTTGTTGGAGGCCTCCCGAATGAGGAGTTGTGGACTTTGATTAGGCGGTTTAATAAGGTATGCGTGGCTTCTTTTGAAGCTTTGGAGCAATGGTGCTGAATGGGTGTAGCAAATGTACCATGTCAAGGTGCTCCAAAAGCCTCCTCTTGGAGGGTTAGACCTCAGCATCGCTGACGCTGAGGAGTTTTCTCCCGATAAATTGAGAGCAAACATCGAGCGGTTTTATATGACGGTGGTTGTTGGCCTGGTTGGATTCTGGAAACATATTGCTAGGCTTAGATCATGGCGAGAACGGAACCGGACAATTGCTTTTGCGACAGTCTACTTCGGTGCATGGGCTATCGACTTCCTCGTTCCTACGATTACCGCCTTTCTTGTGGCTCTCATCGCGTATCCGCCAACAAGGACGTACTGCTTCCCGCCAGCTCCGATTGCTTTGATCGATTCGAAGACAGGGGGGGTCAAAAAGCCGACTGCTGGGGTGCTGGGGAGTGATAACAGCTTGACTGGAGCTCCAGAGAAACAACAAGGAGAGGCTGTAGAGCAGGAAGCTAGCAGCTTCGTCAATAGCTTCACCTCAATTGCAATCAGCAGCGCGGCAGGTAAACATCCTCAAGGAAACCCCAATGGCGAGGAAGAGGGAGCAAGCTCACTTGAAGACCGAGCACCAGATCCAACGAACATGGCATTGAGTGCCGCAGATGCAAAGAGCAGCAGTGCTGGAGGACAACCAAATGCTGTGCATGATAAGGCCAAGGAACCGATGTCAGCTGCGATGTGGTCTAAGACTAGACCAGTCATGCATGCCATTGCAGATATCTCCGATGGATGGGAGAGGTTTGGCAATGCCTTGTCACCTACTCCTCCTTTCCCAACAGAGAGGCCTCGTATCCAGCTTGCAGCAGCTCTAGTTCCGATCCTCCTCATATCTCTGTTTACCAGTTCATACATGTTCATGAAGACGAGCGGGCTATTCGTGGGATTTGGGTTCTTCGCAGATCCTTTTATCTCGAGAGCTCTCTCATACCTGAACAGAGAGTTCCCACACTGGCAGAAACTCCTGGAACTCAGAAATACGTTGCTTAAGGGGGTTCCAACTAATGCACAGCTTACTGTCACTCTTCTCCGCATTGGAGAGGCTAACAAAGCTCCTCTACCCCCTCCGCCATACTCTGGCCCGCCACCCCCAGACGCTGCTCACGATACTGCGGGAGAGGGCCTTGAATATCTTGGTATGCCCCTGTCATTGCTTTGTAACCCTGTGCTAACGGCTTCAGAAGAGGTTCCCGATGATGAAATGGGTGTAAGTGTTGAAAGAGAAATCCTTCATTTTTCAAGCCTCAAGTTTACCGAGACAATCTGAATTCATTGTCCCAAGTTTCTCGCGACATTCTTTATCGAGCAATCTGCTGACTCCCCCGTTCGCTAGCAAGCCATTCATCCTGATACTACAGCCGTCGCAACCGGAATGGATGCAGCGCCAAAAAAGAAACAACACGGTCGTCGTATCCTCAGCACCATCAAAGGTGTCACGAAAGGAGGCGTGGAAACCATTCTCGGCACGGATAGACTGAAAGCTGCAGCTGGAGCAGAACACGCCAAGAATCGTCTAGGAGTTTTGAGGTCGGGAAATCTTGTTACTGGTGGACCGATTGACTTCCCGTGTCGATATAAGGGAAAGAAGGGTCACGCGTATATCACGACCACGGCGACGAGTCCGGCGGTAAGCCCTGACTTCTCGGAAAATCAATCCCTCTTGTAGCAGTGCCCAACAGCTCCTGGGATATTCTAGTCTCAAAATTACTTGAAAAAGGGATGCTGACTCCCATATCTTGGAAATAGGTCAGTTGGACCACCGAGAAGGAAGACATTGATCCAGTTTTCTCGATTGCTATTGCTGACATTGCAGTACGTGTTCCCTTATCTCCCGTTAGACTCTGGATAAAATATCTGACTATAGACGCAGGAAATCAAGAAAGTCGGCGGGCTTGGATGGAAGTCGAAGCTGGTTGTTGGATGGGCGACGGATAGAGAGATCGCTGATGGCCTTTTGATTGTTGACAAGGACGGAAATCAGAAGCAGCTCACTGCCATTGCTCTTAGAGAAGAGCTCTTCAATCGTCTGATTGCTCTTGGAAAGCAAATGTGGGAGGCCTGGTGAAAGGGCAAAGTCTTTGAATCTTGGGATCTGGAGTTCGAGGCAACGAATACCACATATAGAAATGCACGTTGAGCACTGATCCATTTCACGAATATTCCTCGACGAGCAGTGCGGAGGCGCATTGTACACTTGTGCGCTGTTCATTGAAGCTATAAGGGATGATAGTGAAGATCAAAAGATTGAAAATTCGATCGCCGGGAAATGAGTTGGTCCACGTCAGATAGCTGTTCTGAAATATAGAAGGGATCACCCACCAACCGCCCAAACCCCCTTTCCGCCCATGCCTACCCCACCAAAATTTTCTCGATTTTTCAAAGTCTTTGGAAAATTCTAAAAATTTGCTAAATTATAGAGAATACTCGAAATATTGCGAATATCACATTAATTTTCGATTTTGTGGCGTTAAGGTCTCCAAAATCCAAGTTGAGCGGAAAGGGGGTTTGGGCGGTTGGTGGGTGATACCTTCTACTCAGCGGGCCCGGACCCGCATTTTTCATCACTCCAGCGCACCAAACCAACACAGACCAACACCCGTGAATCTCCAAATTGTATGACTCGCCCCGAATCAACACATTATGGCTCTCCTCACCAGTTTCCGGTGATATCGCAGGATTCGACTAAGCTTACGCAGAAGGGAGAAATGCCCATACTCTTCCTCACATCAACGCCAGACAGTGGTCAGCCTGCCGTGGTTGAATGGGCTATGATGTGGGGAAAACTCAACTGTTTGGCGTGGGGGTTTTGGCTGCAACTGCGACTGCACTATCCCAAGAATTGTTCCCTGGAAACCGAGAGCTGGTTTCCTTAAGTTCAAAGAATCGATCAGCTTGAGGCTTCAACGATAACAGAGGGTCAATGTCCCAGGGATGCCTTCTCCTCGCTTCCCCCCGCGCCGGAACAACTTCTCACTTGACCTGGCACCTCCCGCATCTGCTCGCATCATGAACATCATACGTGCTGTCAAATAAAGCACACTCAGGCATCAAAGTTTCACTAGGTAAGATCCACAGCCTACAGGGAATCTTGTCCTATTTCAACTCTCGATATCATGACTGGAGGTCGGACAACGACTCTTGGGTTAGAATTGAGTCAGGGAATGCTTTACCATCTCAAAATTGACAGACGCAGAATGTCAAGGATGTGGAATTGCAGCTCCAACCGATGGTGAAAGAGAGAGCAGAGAATGGGCAAGGTAAAGACCCCCTCAAGGACGCTCCTTGTATCATACACTGACATTGATGAAGTTGAACCCAAGATCAAGAAGGTGATGTCGAAAATGAGTAACTAGCGACATTTCTTGTTTATTGTGGTGCTTCAAGGTTGGAGGAGAATACCTCAGACTTCCAGCCCTGAGTGTGCACCGCAATAATGGACAACCATGCTTGATGAATGTAATGAAAAACCTTGCTAACAACGATCTTAAAGAAAAGCCCATGAAGGCGAGTTGTAGAAAGAAATACTGCTGACACTTCCGATAAATCCAAAGAGCAGGAGCCGGAAAGCAGCAACCAGTCAAAGAAGTGCAGGGAATGGAAAAGCAACACCGAGGCGAAAGAGTCTCGAAACAACCTCTTAAGAGGCGCACAATCATCAGAGAGCTCTTATTTCGGATACTTGAAGAGGAGCTTGCATTGTTCCCGGAATTGTTCATGGCCACTTTGGAAGTCGAAAAGGGATTTGGTATCCCTCTTGGCAAGTGTGATAAAAGCCCACTAGACCCCGCCAGGGCAAGGTCACAGAGATTTCGTTGATTGCTCGGAAAGCATGGAACAGTATGGACCCGATAAGTCGCATGGTTGCTGACTCCGCTAGGCAGGCTTCTAGTCAAGTCGAATGTGATCCTTCAAAAAGGACACCTGATCGGTTCAATACTTTGAGGAAGAGAGATGTGAATACAAACACAGGCTATGCTCCAGAGGGAGAGCTATCGCTGCCACATCATGAGCCATGTGGTGCTTTAGGCCTCGATGAGAAGTCTGCTTTGTTGCTGGAAGTCTCCAGTGGATTACTCGGATCAATATCTGTTTACTGTTATCTGCGCATATGTTCCTGGCTCTTCAAAACTACCTTGAATACCTTTTAATGGCATCCGATCTGAATCCTTTCTGTTACCTCAACAAATTTCAGTTCTCGAACGGCCACGGCTTCTGTCGCCATCACGTGTTGCAGCTGCTTAAGCCCAGAACGGTTTCTTGGTCGCGAAAAACCTCCTTCAGAGTTGTGGCAAGTTGCAAGTATCACACGGGATGCATATTGGAATTACTTTTTTGTTTTCTTCTGAATTTTAGGACCAGGGAAATAAAAAGGGGCTGGCAACTTAGGCGAGCCCCGCCTCCAAAAAAAACCACGAAAGGATTGCGATCCCAGTCTCTAGCGGGATTACATTGGCGAGGCATGAAGTGAGATAGAGAGACACCCAAGTACCTGTACGAAGTGATGTAACGGAAGTTTCCAATGGAATCCAAACCAGCCGCTCTTGAGATACTCCACAAGACACACGAGTGCGCTCGCAAAGACTGCACGTGTAAGGGACCCCAGTACAGCCTGTTTAGCCATACCAGTTTTTAACCAGTGTATTGCAAGCACATTTGCGAACAGCTTTGTCATTTCCACTATTCTTGTGCCAAACCACCAAGACCACGTTAGCGTGTCTGGAGAGGTCAGCCTGGAAAATGGGGAGTGTGGGAATCAATTGATTCGGCCATACATCTTACCTTTGAAACACTACGAAGCTTCATTTAAATCAATTACTTTTTTGTTGACATTGAACTTCTGCCAGACTGCAAATATTTTAGGAGACTGGGCTCCAAATTGGGAATCAAAATAGAGCCTAAAACAGCAGGGCAGTGCACTCCTCATTCGGTAAACGGAAGTCTACTTTCCGGACAACATCTTGAGGCCTCATTCACCCGGTATCATCCCGTTCCCTTGATATGCTCCCTGGCACGAATGCTTTTCTCAGCATCCTGTGGCATCCCCACGAGGATCAGACACTTTTGTAAGACAGAAAGGATTGGCCAAGACCTTCAAGCTGACGCGATCCCGTACCTTTGTCATAGTCTCACCGTACTTTGGATATTTAGGGCTAATAATGCCGGTTTGTTTGAGATCTTTAGAGTAGTCCTGCGCGCAATGAGTGTGGCCGGTGACTCGATCACCATACTCTCCCTGGCGGGGTCCCTCATGCACAACAACAGCCCAATAGTGACCAGTCATAGTTCTTCTCTTTTTTTCATTGTACAGCTGTGATGTCAAAAGATGATCTTTGGTATCAGAAGCTCGAAGTCTCAGCATGAATGCAGGTTGACTATATGCAACGTCAACCTCATTGCGTCCTTCCATCTGCATTCAGCCTGAAAGGACCTCTTCACCGCTCTCAGCCTCTGATGAATCAGTTTGACCAATTACCCAGCCCCCTATCCCGCCTCAGCCTTATCTTCACCTCCCTTCGAACCCCACACTATTATTTGGAGGTTATATCGTAGCTCCCAAGAATCTTACCTGCCCAACTAGGTGTATGGGGAATGAATTATCACATCCGCCAATCTCGCAAAGCGTCATCTTTCTTGTCATGTTGCTGCAACTCAAGGTTGGTATTGACTAATTTATGCTTTTTACCCCGGCTATGTGTTCTATTCTCAGTGCATGTTAAGGCACCACCGCCTAGATAGGTATTTTCTTATCAGATTTAATATGCCTGAGGTGCACGCCGCGGTCGAGAACACCTCAAGGACACCCGAGTATGGCGTACGCAGGGACCTTATCACATGTTGTATTGACAGCGTCCACCAGGTTTTCTTCATATATTTACAGTCTCAACAAGAACACCGTGCCAGCACTAGTTCATCCGAATCAGTACCTTAATACAGTGTATATTACCTCCTGCTCCTTTGGTAGCGCCCCCAGCCGTACCTCCGGCGTCACACAATGTACACAACCCCAATATACGGCAGCCCTAAAGTACCTCGCAGAATAAAGCCTAGGCGAGTCTCTCCGTCGATTTCAGCAACCATATACCCCGGATCCCCGCTTTCCGTCCGTATCTCAGCTCCCTGTACAATCCGAACACCCCGTCGGACCGATCTCTGCTACAACACCTCCCGTTCCCATCTTCTCTCCTTATGCTTGCTCCTTCTCAATCCATCTGACTACGGCGCAGCAACCTCAAACTACCTCAATTCGGCGCGAAAGGACTTTCCATATCGCCGACAGTTCACCGACGGGCCGGATCTGCTCGCAAGGTCGGTCATCACGCAAGGGGACGGCGCGACCTGAGCGACCTTTGCATCATGCCTGTTAATATGTTTCGCATGCAGCATGCAGCACCCGACCCCAGCGGAGCACGAATGCGGTAGAAAGCCCTTACCCAGTTTGTCACCCTGGTTGTTGGTTGCGAGAAGGTTAGGGAGCAGGGAAGGAGATCCTCCCCGCTACACGAATATGAACAGGCGTTCAAAGCTCTGACTCTCTAGGCCCGGATAAACACAACCTGCCAAGATGGGAATCCTCCTTTGCAACTTTCCAAGCATGCGGCCGTTTGCTCGCTGAATCTAGCCCCGGTTTTCGACTTCCAAGACTCCCGAGCTCAACAAAAAATAAACACAATAATAAACTATTTCTTTTTTTAGTGCGGTTAGTTTTTGTTTCATTGCTCGGTTGGGGTCAGCGGATGAGCATGTTTCACACCGAATGATGACCAGATGAATGGCATCAGGAGATGTCTCGCTGGCATGAGATCCCAAAGCGATATCCCCGGCCCCCCGCAATGTTCACCCCCGCCAAAATTTACGATGTTGTGGGGTAGGATTTTCGTCTGTACAGCCAGCCCCTGACCCCTTGCGTTACCTTACCCCACCATAACGCCGGTGGCTGCACTTTCGTTTTCCAGCTTCGGGGAAATGCCGTTGGTGATTACTGGGTTTGAGCCTGAAGGACATGCTTGGGGCTTAAGGGCTGATGGGGTTCTTCAATCATGAGGTTTCGGTGATATGTGGTGATGA